AGACTGTAAGGGGTAATAGGCTCAGCATCTTGTGGATCCTCCGAGGCCTTGGTTTATGGGCGATTCTTTAGGATAGCTTCAACCTCCCACTCACCACCGAAATGAGAAGCTACTGGTGGACTGAACACCCAAGAAATACTTTCTTTAAGCATCTTCTTGTATGCGTGACTGGCTTAGCTGTGCAAGTGCTTGCTTCAATTCCCATAGTGAATAACCTTGACTGCACCTCTTCTCGAGTAAAACCTACAGAGGGCTATGAGAAGGGAAGGTCTATCCATCGTCTCAACAACCTCTAAATGGACAACTCGAAATGTGAAACAGGTGAAAATCATCCCATAATGCTTCACATCACTACGCCCTTTTTTCACCGTAAAAAGTAAAAAGCAGTCAACCTCTGAATGTGTAAACCGTGGCTTATAAGTCTACTAGCAGGTAGGTCTTACATAAACTGCCACAGCAGTCGGGGAGCCAAGACATAAGCACACAGTACCAGTAGATCTTATCTTCTTTACTAAAGGGCCTGCATCCAATATCCAATACCTTTGTCTAAGTTGGCTTAATAAATAATTGCGACCGCTGTGTCAAAGTCAGAAGGTATGAAATATATATGTACCCTAAACTTTACTAGCCCCTGCAGTTCGTCCAGCCATTGCCTCCAGTGAAGGCTTATAGGCTCTCATTATTATCGTTATTATTATTATCGTTATTATTATCATTATTATTGTTATTATTATTATCGTTATTATTATCATTATTATCGTTATTATTATTATCGTTATTATTATCATTATTATCGTTATTATTATTATCGTTATTATTATCATTATTATCGTTATTATTATTATTAGAAGAATGATAATAATAACAATAGTAATAATAATAGTAATAATGATAATGATGGTGATGATAATAGTAATAATAATAATAATAAAGATATAATAACGATAACTACAGCAATAATAGTAATAAAGTGATAATTAAAACGACAATGATGATAATAATAACAATAAAAACAGCAACAACAATAATGAGATTAATAACAATAATAATTATGATAATAACAATAAAAAATGTAATAGTAACAAAACAGGAACAATTGCAATAATGATGATGATGATGATAATAATAATAATAATAATAATAATAATAATAATAATAATAATAATAATAATAATAATAATAATAATAATAATAATAATGATAATAATAATAATAATAATAATAATAATAATAACAATAACAACAATAATAATAATTATGATAATAATAATAGTGATGATAACAATGATAATAATAATAACAATAACAATAATGATAATAATAATAACAATGAAAATTATAATATAATAATAATAATGATAATGATAATAATAATAATAATGATAATAATAATAATAATAATAATAATAATGATAATAATAATAATAATAATAATGATAATGATAATGATAATGATAATGATAATGATAATGATAATGATAATGATAATGATAATGATAATGATAATGATAATGATAATGATAATGATAATAATAATAATAATGATAATAATGATAATAATGATAATAATAATAATTATAATAATGATAACAATAATATATCAATAATAATATCAATAATGACATGAAGGCAAGATCATTAAGTCATGTATTGTAAATAAATTAAATAGATTAAAAGGCCGCAAAGCTAATACACAACGATAGGGAAAATCGACCAAGAAAGGGGTAAAGAAAAACAAAGAAACAGAGGGAGAGAGAGAGAGAGAGGGAGAGAGAGAGAGAGAGAGAGAGAGAGAGAGAGAGAGAGAGAGAGAGAGAGAGAGAGAGAGAGAGAGAGAGAGAGAGAGAGAGAGAGAGAGAGAGAGAGAGAGAGAGAGAGAGAGACAAAAGAGAAAGAGAGAGATAAAGAAATAGAGCGAACGAAAAAAAGAAAGAAAGATAGACAGAAACCGAAACAGAGAAAGAGACAGACAGAAAAAGCGAAAGAAAAAAAAAATATATATGGAACATTTCAAACCAACTTCTAAAATTCGAATAAAAAGCTCCCCTTCTCGGCGGCCTGCTGTGGACTAGAATGCCCCAGAGAAATTGGCGTGTGGCGGGGCAGAAGGCGAGAGCTTTTTCATTTGAACAGCGAAAGGGGATTTTTTTTATCACGAAATATTGTTTTAACGACTATGCTATATAGTACATGATGGGTATTTTGCCGCTCCCGAGGAAAAAAAATATTTGTCGTATTTTCTTAATGGTAAATTAATAATAACGGGGTTGATGTCAATGTCTATTGTCATGCGAGACAATGGCTTAGAAATCTTGTTGTTTGGCACTGGTCTTCATCGAGAATAATTCTGAGATTGAATCATCTTGGTGGATAAGAACCCGTTCCAAAGCTAAGTGATTAGAAATGTTTTTTTTGTTTTTTTGTTTTTTTGTTTAATTAGTACAATGTTGATGTTTATTTGATGATGGGAGGAGTCATTTCGATATTTGATAAGTAATTACGAATGCGCTCTGCCGATGTTAATGTGTAATGTGAGTGAAATATGAATGATTATGCTTTGTACTGAAAATGTTCAAGAAAGGTCAGAGTTCAGAACATAGTGAAACATAGGACAGCGATTTTGTATCTTTCCATGAATTTTATTTAACAATGATAATATTCATGTTTATTCGACAAGACAATTATTAATTACAAAATATCTCCACCGAATATACCGAAGAAAGTTCAAAGTTCAGAACACACTGAAACATCAAACAACTATTTCTAACTGATTATGAATGTTCTTTATCGATGATGATGTTAATGTTAATGTTTAATGAACAATAAGGGAACCATTTCTAAGACTAACTAACAACGAATTTTCTCTACCTATCATACTAACAGACTAACCTACCACATCCAGCTTTATGTTTTATATTACTGATGATAATGTTAATATTAATATTTACTAGACAATGAGGCAACCGTTTCTAAACCTTATTAACAACGAATGCTCTCTCCCAATCATACTAACATACTAAAACACAAGACTACCATTTCTAGCTAACCGTCAATTTTTTTTATTTTTTATTACCGATTAATAATGCTAGTGTTAACGTTTCCTAAACAATACGACAAACACCCCAAAATCCTAACAAACAAATACTCCCAACCGACAATCTCGAAAACAGACCAAACCCCAGAACATGCAATGATGACTAAACAGAGGAAGAAGAGAGAGGGTGGGAAAAAAATATTACACCACTCCTTGGTCTCTCCTGACACACTATCACTCAAGATTATGACCTCCGCGGGCTATAATCTGACAAGAGAAGGCCTATTAATATTTCCTGACGAGATGTTATAACAGACAATCGGGGCGAAGGAAGCAAGAATGGTATTTGTGGTATTAAGGGGCCATTCCTCTCTCTCTCTCTGATACCATTTCCGAAAGGGTTGGCAAGCGAAGGTGACGTCGGAGAGATGGAATGGTATTTCATGATTGAAATTGTAATAATAATGTTGTGTTATATATGAAAACTGTATTTCCTGATTAAGTCATAGATACTCTAATCTCACATGAAACCATACGTTATCAAATAGTAATTCCAACGCCAGTCAAAGGCATTAAAAACTTAATAAAAAAAAAAGTCAGTAATGATTATGAGACCTATTAAAGTCATGTTGAAACAACGAAAATATATATAAATGATGTTTTGGGATATGAAATCGTAGTATCAAATAAATAATGAAAACGAGTGAATATTAACAGACATAGTAAAATATGATGATAAAGTGATAGAGAATACAGACAATGAGAAAAAATGATAACAAGACGAGAAAATATGTGTAAATGATAACAATAAGAAATAATCAGAATAAATAATGATACAAAAAACAATAACGATATTACACACGGTCAAACGCAAACAAACAAACATAAACAATAAAACATAAAATACAGGGTTAAATAATCTTAGAAAATACATAAACAGCAAGAACAACAACAATACTAATAATAATAATAACAACAACAACAACAACAACAACAACAACAACAACAACAACAACAACAACAACAACAACAACAACAACAACAACAACAACAACAACAATTACAACAACAACAACAACAACAATAATGATAATAATGATAATAACAATAATAATAATAATAATGATAATAATAATAATAATAATGATAATGATAATAACAATAATAATAATAATAATGATAATGATAATGATAATGATAATAATATTGATAATAATTAAAAATATATATATTAATAATGATAATGATAATGATAATGATAATGATAACAATAATAATAATAATAATAATAATAATAATAATAATAATAATAATAATAATAATAATGATAACAATAATAATAACAATAATGAAAATATGATACAATGATGACATCGTTACATACCACAGAGCAAAGTCAGATTATCCGGGAACCAGATTTCACAAAGACCCCGGATAACGAACATCAATAAGATGCAATTAACAAGATTATAATAACAGTTAATTACCCTTACTTCTCCCCCCCCGCCCTCCCACTGATCACATACTTATCGTCTCGGTCATAATGAGCAATCTGGGTATTATCTTGGACTTAAATCATTAAGAGAATCGTTATAGAGATATCAAAACGGCGGATTTGGTGACAGCGGGATTGAACTTGAGTCTTGAACCTCAAGATTGAACTTGAACCTCAGTATTGAACCTCAAGTCTTGAACTTGAGTCTCGAACCTCAAACTTGAACCTCAGTCTTGAACCTCAGACTTGAACTTAAGTCTCGAACCTCAAACTTGAACCTCAGTCTTGAACGTCAGTCTTGAACCTCAATTTAGAACCTAAACACTGAACCTCAAATTTGAACCCCAGACCTGAAGCTCTATCTTGAACCTTAACTTTGAATTTTAATATTGAACCTCAAATTTGAACCTCAATCCTCAACCTCCATTTTATACCGCAGTCTTGAACCTAAACCTTGAAGATAAACCTTGAACCTCAAATTTTAATAGGGAAAGTGATATGAAATTTTTGAATAATTAATTTTATTTAACACAATCAATTTCATTATAAAAGATTAGCAATATGTTTCTCTCTCTCATGTGTTTTGATGTGATGATAGAAGTAACAAAGATAATAGTAATGATAATGATGGTGCTAGTGATAATGGAAATGATAATGATGACAAAAGTAATAATGATAACAATGATGATAGCACTAATGATGATGATAATGATGATGATGATGATTATGATTATGATTATGATGATGATGATGATGATGATGATGATGATGATGATGATGATGATGATGACGAGGAGGAGGAGGAGGAGGAAGAGGATGATGATAATGATGAAGAAGATGATGATGATGATAATAATAATAAATAAGCAAGAACAACAACAACAACAATAATACACGAAAAGTTTGAAAATAAAAATAATAACAACTATACAAAAGAGAATAAAATATAATAATAACTGATCTATTGCAAAATCCGAAGAGAAAGAAAGGAGGAAAATTAGAAGCAATAATGAAAGAGAATTAAAGGATTTAGCTCAAGTAATTAAGAACAGCTGTCCAACAATATCTGGAAATGCCACGAAACCTGTACAGATAATTATATAAAAGAAAAGAAAAAAGAAAGTAAGAAAGAATGAAAGAAAATATATATAGATATAGATGTAGATGGAGATATAGATATAGATATAGATATAGACATAGACATAGACATAGACATAGATAAAAATATAGATATAGATATAGATGTAGATGTAGATGTAGATGTAGATATAGATATAGATATAGACATAGACGTAGATATAGACATAGACATAGACATAGACATACACAAAGACATAGATATAGATATAGATATAAATATAGATATAGATGTAGATGTAGATGTAGATGTAGATGTAGATGTAGATGTAGATGTAGATGTAGATGTAGATATAGACATAGACATAGACATAGACATAGACGTAGACATAGACATAGACGTAGACATAGGCATAGACATAGACATAGACATAGATGTAGACGTAGACATAGACATAGACGTAAACATAGGCATAGACATAGACATAGATGTAGACGTAGACGTAGACATAGACATAGACATAGACAAAGACAAAGACATAGATATAGATATAAAAATAGATATAGACATAGACATAGACATATATATAGACATAGACATAGACGTAGACATAGACATAGACATAGATAAAGATATAGATATAGATATAGGCATAGACATAGACATAGATATAGACATAGACATAGACGTAGACATAGACATAGATAAAGATATAGATATAGATATAGGCATAGACGTAGACATAGACATAGACATATATTAAGATATAGATATAGGCATAGGCATAGACATAGACATAGATAAAGATATAGATATAGATATAGACATAGACATAGACAAAGATATAGATATAGATGTAGATGTAGATATAGATAGATATAGATGTAGATGTAGATATAAATATAAATATAGTTATAGATATAGATATAGATGTAGATGCAGATACAGATATATATTTTCCTTCTTTCTTTCATTCTTTTTTTCTTTTCTTTACTCTTTTCTTTTCTTTTTTTCAAAATGTTTTACGATTTCCGGGCTTTACCTAGGAATAGACCGGATATTGTTCAGAATGATATTCAAAGGATGGATTTAAGAGAAATCTTTCTCTTTCTCTCTTTTTTTCTTCTCTCTTCTTTCTTTTTTTCTTCTCTCTTCTCTCTTTTCTCTACTCTTCTCTTTTCTTCTCTCTATATATATATCTATCAGTCTATCTAGCTTTTTTCTTCTATTCTCTGCCCTTCTCTCTTTCTTCCTTTTCTTTCCTCTCTCTCTATCTCTATCTATCTATCTATATATCTCCTCTTCTCTTCTCTCTCTCTCTCTTTCTCTGTCTCCCATCCTCTCCCTCCCTCCCTCCCTCTCTCTCTCTCTCTCTCTCTGTTTCTCTCTTCCTCTTTTATCTTTTCTTATAATGATTTCTCTCTCTCTCCCCCCCTCTCTTTCTTGCGCGCACGAAAGAATAAGAGAAGAAACACACACAAAAAAAGAGGAAAAAGCAAACAAACAAACAAAGGACCAGACAAACAGACAAAGAATGAAAGAATCAGAAAGAAACAGAGTGAAACAGAGTGAAAGCCAGAGAGACAAACAGCGTGCAGTTAAGACCAGCAGAGGCCAGGCGAGAAGTCCATCCAGCCTCGTTACTACAGCGTATACGGCCGAAATAATGTATGATTTCACCTCCAGCTTTAGTCTCTCGTGTTCTGCCGTTTTTTTTTTTTTTTGTTCTTTGTTTTTGTTTTTCCGTCATTTCTCATTACTCACTCTCGGGGTTATTCTTGCTCCTTGGACTAATGCCTGCTGGTGGCGCGAAAGAGGACGTGGGTTGATGGTGAGAGATGGTGTTGTGATGATTCGTGTTTTTTTTTTTTTCTTTTCATTTTACTTTTTTTTTGTTTTGTTTTCTTCTGTTTCTTTTTTATGTTCTCGTCCTCTCGCTGCTGTGTGTCTTTCATTTTTTGTTTTGTTTTGTTTCATTTCAGGATGAGGTGAGGATTATACGGGGGAAAATATGATTACTCTCGTTCTCTCTGTCTCTCTCTTGCTTGGTCTCTTTACTCTCTCTCTTTCTTTATTCTCTCTCTCTCTCTTTACTCTCTTTACTCTCTCTCTGTCTCTCTCTCTCTCTCTCTCTCTCTCTCTCTCTCTCCCTGTCTTTCTCTCTCAGTCTCTGTCTCTCCTCTCTCTCTCTTTGATTCTCTCTCGCCCTCCTTCTCCCTTCCCCCCTTAGGGACACTCTCCATCTCTTCCTCACCCCCTCCCACCTCTTCCATCCCTCCCTCCCTCCCAAACTTAACACAAAGTATGTACAACATTTCCCTAGAGTAAAAAAAAAAAAAAAAAAAAAAAAAAAAAAAAAAAGTCTATTATATTAAGTATTCAACCCAGATAATAAATTATTCACGATTAATGGAGCGAACCAGCATAACGCGTCCTTGTTCCTTGTTGAACAGTGTGATCTTGTTATTAAATTCATCAGTTATTCCCTTATCATCATTTAGCTCCTCGCTCGGCTGAAAAATGGTTGAATGGGCGCTGGGTGATGGCTGGAGGGCAATTGGTGTTATGGTTGCGTGGTGGTTGGTCTGGTAGTTGGGTAACGGGTGAGTGGCTGTTGGATAATGGTTGTGTGGTTGGTGGTTAATGGTTGTGGTTGGTGGTTAATGGTTATGGATGGTGGTTAATGGTTGTATGGTTGGTGGTTGATGGCTGTGGTTGGTGGCTAATGGTTGTATGGTTGGTGAGTAATGGTTGTGGTTGGTGGCTAATGGTTGTATGGTTGTTGAGTAATGGTTGTAAGATTGGTGGCTAATGGTTGTGGTTGGTGGTTAATGGCTGGTGGTAGTTGAGTAATGGGTGAGTGGCTGTTGGATATTGGTTGAATACTTGTGAATAATTGATGATTAATTGTGGATAATCGGTGATTGGTTGTATGAGGGCTGGATAATGGTTGAATAATTGTTTAGTTGTGGTGATTAATGGCTGGATAATGGTTGGACAGTGACTGGATAATGATTAAATAACTGTTCAATAGAAACCGAATAAAAATTACATAGCTTTTGGATGATGGTTGAAATAATGGATTAATATTGACTGAATAACGGGTTTAATACACGTTGGGTATTGGCGAAATAATTTTTGAATAGCGGCTAATAAAAATGCTATATAATGGTTAAGAAATGGTCGAATGATGGTTGAATAATGATCAAATAATGGTTAATTAATGGTTTTCATAATGGTAGTACTCGTGGGAAAGTGAAAGTTTCCATTGGTCCACATTGCTCTGTTGTGGCCTTCCGTTAAAACAGCGCCGGGGATTTCGATAGTTTTGTTTTTGTTTAATGTGGATTTCCAATACCTTCCGATGTCCGCTTTCCAATGAGGAGAGAGGGAGAGGGAGAAGGGGGGGGGAGAGGGAGAGGGAGAGGGAGGGAGAGAGGGAGAGGGGGAGGGGGGAGAGGGAGAGGGGAAGGGGGAGAGGGAGAGAGGGAGAGGGGGAGGGGGAGAGGGAGAGAGGGAGAGGGGGAGGGGGAGAGGGAGAGAGGGAGAGAGGGAGAGAGAGAGAGAGAGAGAGAGAGAGAGGAGAGAGTGAGAGAGAGAGAGAGAGTGTGAGTGAGAGAGAGAGAAGAAGAGAGAGAGACTCATACAGGCGGACAGACAAAGACAGACAGAAAAAGAAAGAGAGACAGGAAAACAGACACCACCATGATGTTTTCAACCATTTATGCATTTAGACAATACCTTACGAAATCAAATACCCTTTTTAAAACTGTACTCAAAACACAAATCATCTAATAAACCAAAAAAATAATAATTACTTCAATTCGACCTCCCCTACAACCTCCCCCCCCCCCCCCCCCCCCCCCCCCCCCCCCCAAAAAAAAAAAAAAAAAAAAAAAAAAAAATCACACGACGCACACAAGACACATCATACACCATGCATATTTTCATCGTGCAATTAAACCTATGCCCCGATGCCTATTAGAGTGCCATCGAAATTATTCCACAAACGCCGCCGCCCGAACGTCCAAAATGATATTACATTTTCCGGTGATGAAATATTCTACATCGTTTCCATATTAGAGTTAATTAAGCAAGAGAGCGAAGGGAAAAGGTAAGAGAGAGAGAGATGGAGAGAGGGAAGGAGGGGGAATGAAGGTGAGAGAAAGAATGAGAGAGAGAGGGAGGGTGAGAGAGAGAGAGAGAGAAAGAGAGAGAGAGAAAGAGAGAAAGAGAGAGAGAGAGAGAGAGAGAGAGAGAGAGAGAGAGAGAGAGAGAGAGAGAGAGAGAGAGAGAGAGAGAGAGAGAGGGACGGTGTGTGTGAGAGAGAGAAAGAAAGAGAGAGAGAGAGAGAGAGAGAGAGAGAGAGATAGAGAGAGAGAGAGAGAGAGAG